AACAGAAATACCGGTTCCTTCTTCAGCTCCCATGACTTCCTCCTGCTCATGTCACAGGACTCTCACCTGTCATTGTTTAACTATTAGCAGCACAGAACTTCCAAAGCTGGATGTTTTCACCACAGAAAACAACAGCACACAAGCAGATCGGGCACATGTGCTCGTTTTATTTCAGCATTTATATGAAACTACAAAATCCTATCTTACATTTACAAAGAATATAAAATTAAAATATTACACAAGCTTTTAAAACTGAGCTGATATTGCTGTTGTTTAACAACATATTTGTCATTTGCAGCAGGTTCCACGAGACGGACGTCAGTGGAAGATAAAAGAGTGAAGTGTTTCTTTAGCTGGCATCCACCGTGTGCGTAAAAAGCTCAGATGGTCTTCTTTTTCCGCCCCTGTGAGCTGTGCTGGTGGATTTTCAGTGCTTTATTCCTAAAACGATGATAGACGGAGTTACTTCTCTTGCTGTTTATTAGAAAATCAGAACACTTGCTCTTTATTCTGCTTCTAAAAATCTCACCTTATATGATCGACAGCGTCAATCACCCACTTCAGAGCTGGATTGGCGCATGCTTTCCCTTCTTTGTGTGGAAACTACATTAAAATAAAGCAATGTGTAAATATTTTTACACCCACAGTAAACACTAATTTCGTCTCAAGTATTTTTTGATCTTTAAAGCAGTTTGTTAAAATAATTTTAAAGATGCTCACATGATGGCATTGATGGGACACATCTCTGTGTCAGTCTGGACTGAGTACCCCTTGATGATGGAGTCCTGTAACCTGCCTATCATGTACCTTCGACAGCAGTGACGATAAGCTGGGAAGAGTAAAATATAATATCTGTATCTGCCAGATCCCAGTAGTGGAAACGCTGATGTGTAAGCGTATGTGATTAAGAGAGAAAAGACAAAGAAACAAAAGAAACAAAGACAAGTACATACCAGCAAATGTGCTTGCAGGCAGACAAACAGTAAGTGCGATCACCACCACAGCTTTAATTGGCAGCATGTCTTCTGTGTTTGTGGTGGCAGCAGTGATGATGAAGCTATCTCACTGTATCTGGTGGCTCTTCAGGTTGAGTCAGTGAGGCTGTGCTGGTAATGTGCTGATCAAGCAGCTTCATAAATACTTCAGCTCAGCCCAGAGCAGAAGAAGCTACATCATGAAAAAATCCTGCCACTTTCCCCAGTGAAACAAAGAGGAACTGCTTGGATCATTGTTGGATCAAAACAATGGTAGCGTTTGCAATCATTGGTATGATTATGGAATGACAGCATTGTTCAAATTTTACAATAAAGTTCAGAAAATCTCCTGTGTAACTGTTTTTAACTGTTTTTCTATTTCTGTGTTCTGTATATCATCATATTGGTGTGTTTGTACTGTACAGCACTGATGTTATTATGTTTGAGCAATTCAGTTTGAGTGAATAGTCCATTTTTTTCAAGGCTATTTCTATTCAACGTTCATCCTATGAAGCGTTCCTCATGTTCTAAAAGATCAAATCCAGAGTACTTGTTGGTCTGACCCGAGTCAAACTTAAGTTGGCATAAAAAAATCCTCTGTTTATGGCCTCTCTCGACATAAACAGATGTGTCCAAATTTTAATTATGGCTTCAAAACATGCCATGTTTCTGTGATAACAGGCCATCAGGAGACATAAAATGATAAAAAAGAATATGGGATTATAGATGTGAGCAGATTCTTCAGTGGGGAGAAAAGCAAAGCGGAGAAAATGAGAGATACCGATTTAATTGTACCGCTTCCTCTGACTGATAGGGGACTGCGGCAGGTGTTTTTAACGGGTCTTTTTGTTTTGATCTGTGATACTAACGACATTAACGGTGTCTGCTTTCGACTCAGTCTGCTCTTTTACTTGTTGGATGAATGTGTAAAACGCTTGACTATGGCATCATAAGACTTTAAAAAATACAGAAATAACAGAAATAACATTGTCTGCATATCAATAAGAGAGAGTTTGGGGTTTTGTTTGTTTGGGGATTTTTTGGCACTTTGTTTCCATTTTTTGAGACTGTGCGACTGTCAGTTCATGTATTTCTTATTATATCTATCTTACTTTATCATGATAAATAGAGAGCATAATAAAATATATCATCTGTAATATGCCCTTATCTCATATCTGCTACATGTAGATTGCTTTTTTCTGAGTGAACCTTGCTTCCAAGCAAGGAAAGTTTGTTTTTTTTATTTGGCGGAGACGTGATGGATGAATGCCCATCGAATTCTGTGCTTTTATATCGACTTAGACTATGGGAAATTTGTGTAAATTACTTTAAAAATGTCCATTTGTGGTGCCGTGTGGCCAAAAAAATGTGGATGCCTTGTTTAAACATTTAAATCACCGCATTTACAATAAGTTAGAATTCTGCATTCTCAGTTTGTGATAATGTAATTAGAATATGATGAGAAATACTTTCTTTATCACAAAAGTTGGGAAGCTACTGTGTTACAGCAGCTGATTAAATAGAAAAAATACAAAAAAGTGATGCAATCAAAGTGTGATGGAAAAAGGAGATTGAATAAATATATATACATATAGTCAAAGTTAAAATTATTTCTGGTGTACACAGCCTAACGATAAAAAATTAAACAGCACACAAGAACAAGTTGTTTTAGACTTGGAACAGGTACTCATTTTATTTGAATGATTAGATGAAACTACAAAACCATTAATAAAACAAATGACTCTTTTTATAAATTATTTTATAAACATATAAAAGCAAAAAATAAGATTTACAAAGACGATAAAGACATAATATGATACAAGCTCTTACAACTGAGCTGAGATATGCATTGCTGAACACCACATTTGCCATTTACAGCAGGCTCTTCAAGCTGGAGTTAACTGGATTTAAAAACAGTGATGCATTGCTGGTTGCTGGCTGCAGGCTGCAGAGCTCACATAGAAAACAGTCTGCTGTAGCTGGCATCCTTAAAAAGCTCAGACGATCCTCTATTTCTGCTACAGTGAGTTGTTCTGGTGGATCTTCTGCGCTTTAGTCCTAAAATGATGATAGATGGAGTTACTTCTCTTGCTGTTTGTTTCAAATCAGAACATTTGTTCATTATTTTCTTTCTAAAAATCTCACCTTAAACGATCAACAGCGTCCATCACCCACTTCAGAGCTGGATTGGCGCATGCTTTCCCCTTCTTTGTGTGGAAACTGCATTAAAATAAAGCAATATGTCAATATTTATACACCCACGGTAATCATTGAAGCTGTCTTTAACCTTTAAAATGATTTTAGTGACGCTCACATGATGGCATCAATGGGACACATCTCCTTAATAGTCTGGACTGAGTACCCCTTAATTTCAAGATCTCGTAATCGGCCTGTCATATATCTTCGACAGCAGTAACGATAGCCTGTGAAAAAGGAAAGAAAATATATAATAATAAATAATAGTAATAAATAATTAAAATTAAAGATGAAAAACAGAAAGGCAGCAAGTACATACCGTCAGAACTGTTCGCAGTCAGACAAATAGTGAGTGCGATCACCATCGCCATGGCTTTGATTGTCACCATGTCTTTGTTTCAGTTGACAACAGTGATTCTGATGATAAAGTTGTCTCGCCTATCTTCAAGTGGAGTGAAAGGGGGTGCACTGTTGAGGAGCTTCATTTATACCTCAGCTCTGACCACATCAGTGGTGCTAGACTGTCACGAAAACCCCCCTAATTTTTTTTTATTTATAGAACCCAAAATTCTGTCCAACCAAGAGTGGAAACGTTTAAATGGTAAAACCTTACATAAAACCACTACAAGGAAAAAAAAAACCCCTTCTAATTAAAAAGTACTTTCTATAAAATAAGCGATCAATTAAACTTGTTACAACTTTGCTTGTATTTAGGGTAGGGCACAATAATTATGCATCATATTATATATTGTATTTATACAAAGAAATTTGTAAAGTACAAAATTATTAAAACTGTCACATAAAAAAGAGTGTGGTTAAAAAATATTGCTCGCTGAACTGAATTGAAATAAAAGCAAAATACAGAAGCTTTTTGAAAAAGCTCTTTATATTAGTCAGTGCTCATTGTGTCATATGTTGGCCAAATATAAACTAGAAGTTGTAATTATAGGAAAACTGAAAAGAGACATATTAGGTCACACATGTTAGACATGTGACCAGTGTGACCTGCATCAACACACCCTGATAAGACAGAGCCAGCCGTGCAACATGGGACGTTTTATAAAGCGTCATTCCTCTTTGTGACTCTTGACATAAACTTAAAAGAGACATAAAAATAATTATATATATATATTTATAGATAGATATAAAGTATGTGACATTTAGACACAAGTGGAGATAAGAGTTTAAAGAGGATGAAAGCTTCACTGAAGACCTCCGTGCTCTGACTTCACGTGGGCCGCTACAAGTGGGTTGCTTTGAGGTTGGATGTTCTTTTCTAGGTCAGAGGAACTTATTTTATACCCAAGACCCATGCAACAACGGTAAAGCTTTGCATCTGGAGCACTGAAATAGGTCATGATGCACTTATTGTAAGTGTAATTGCTTATCATGAAGTTTCCAACAAAACCACATCACCGAGTTCCTGCAGTTCGCAATCTCATAGTCAAACATCATTGAAAACTATATATCTATCTTTCTAATGCTTTTACTTTACTTATAATATTCTCAATAATGATATCGTTAGATAAGATATATTCATCACCCCCAAAAGGGGAGATTACTGCGTTACTTACAGAAGCCAAAACATTAAAAATAATATTATTAAAATTCAATAAAATAAATGTGATATCACAATAGAAAATGGATGGGGAAACTGAAATAAAAATCAATAAAACAAACTCATTTAAACAGAAAATACAGAAAAGTAAATATATTTTTGATTTTTCAAGACCATCTTAATTCAACAAAATTCGGTGAGAGAGTTTGCTGTCAGTGTAAATGTCCCTCCTGTTCCCCAGATGAAAGAGTCCCTCGAATAAGATAAGATGAGCTGAGATGAGACAACATAAGATAAGAAGAGATGAGACTGAGATGAGAAGAGATAACATAACATTACATAAGATGAGATGAGATAAGATAAACTGTTTAATTAAACAGAAAATACAGAAATGTGACAGCCATACAGAATTATACAGAATGGGACTTTGCTTTATTATTAAACTGTACAGCTAGCACTGTATCTTGTTGAATCCATTCCATGACAAATTAACGCACTTCTGAATGCAAAAGTGGATCCAAACCGGTACTACAAAAGAGAACAGTGCAATGTCTGTCACAGCAGGAGATGATCAAGTGTAACTAATGACATTGTTTGCTTTCTAACCATATTCGAGTAAGA